TCACTGTCTAAAAATAATCCTTGCACCTGTTACAGCGCCTTATCACTTTGCCAAAAAATCTCAAAGCACCTCGCAGCATTTACTGTAAAGTGTAGTGACTGTGTATTGATAGGAAGACATGGCAGCCAACTTGCACACAGCAATGTCCCACAAACAGCTATAAAGCGAATGACCAAATTTATCAGGGGGATTGTTGGCCAGGACATCAGGAGAAACTTCCGTCTCTTTTGGAATTGTGCTATGGGATCTTTAATAGCCACCCGAGCAAACAGACTGAACATTGGGTAACACTCCCCCAGCACCGCATTGGAACGTCAACTAGACTATGAGCTCAATGTAACAGCTTGAACCCTCAGACTTCTGACTCAGATGTGAGCGCAACCAAGTGAGCTCGCAGCGAAGAATGACCAATAGTACGAGGCGTTAAGTAGGGGAGTGGGTAGTTGAAGTTCCACAGAGGTCCAGACCTACACCGGTTTCTTTTTAAGAACTAAACAATTCAAACTAATTTTACAAATTTGGTAAATGCTGCACACGATGAAATACAAAGTAAGTTGGAATTTCACCCGTATGGCTGATATCTCTGGAATCACAATTTCAGAGGGTCGTGGAAAGCGAAACGTTCTGACGACTCACTTTCCTTTCTCCATAGATGCTGCCTGACCTGCTGAGTGTTCCCAAGGACTATGTTTTTTTTATTCTTTAATCGACCTATTGTGAACTGCCCTAACTCACCTCCCCCACTTCGGAATAGTGGTTTGGCCCCAAAGCCACCCCAAAACACAGAATATTACATTTCAGTGCTGCTCGACGGGGTTACCAGCCTAACTCTGACTGAGTCCGTGCAGAGGAGATGCCCATTGTTAAAAGATTGAGCTTTGAGGATGACTATAAACAAGCTCAAACACTTCAGACATGAAAAGTGAACTTCTCAGAGGGACCTTATTGAAGATGCAAAATAAAATGGACAAAGCAAACGCAGAACAATACCTTCAGATATGCCAAGGTAAGAGAGCACAAAATTAAAGTTGCTCGAAACAAATTTTTTATTCAAAACAGAAACCAGAATGTATTTCTTTCTACAAAGGACAAGTAACAGCTGGAGCAGGCTATCAGAAATGGATGAGGCCAGGACACCGGATCTATTTAAGAAACAGCTTGATGCTGTGATGGAAAGGTGACAGGGTGGGTATTCGGGAAGGACAAGATCAATGAGCCAAAGGGCTGACTTCATCCTACTTCACTCTGGTTCTCATGGTTTGTTTTGACAGCCTGGTTGACAATGCAAGGAATAGTATTTTTATTTTTTAATATATTGTTCATTCTCCTGCTTTTTGCTCCCTTATCGGCCTGACCAATCTTCACTGCACTTACAGATACCGTCCTTGTTATTAAACTTGTCATGTACTGCATTGGATTCCAGGAACACCCGTAGTAAAAAAGGCAATAAAAAATAAAAAAAATTAAAAAAGGTAATCAGATGTGCAAGAAAATACGTTCCTTTTGTGGCGCTTGCCAACTTATGCCCTAATACTCTCAGAAATTAGGTAAGCAGGGTGCATGTCTCGGGGAGAGAGTGTGTATTCCAATCCAAGTACAGGAATTTCTATGTGTTGGTTGCATGCATGGAGCTGTCAGTCTGGTTTGGATACTCTTAAGCACAAGTATGTGTCTGACACTCGGCCGACCAACAAAGAAAGAATACTCTTTGCACAGTATAACCGAGTACTGCGGAGCTACTTCTGCTTCAACAGTTCTTTGAGTACCTCTTCTTGGAGCCCTTGACTCACTGTAGACCCATTGCTTTGTTCCTTTGGCAGCTTTGCTCTCTGCTAAGTTAAACTGAATGTATATGTTTTATAGATGTACGAGCCTTCAGGAACCATCCAAATAGTCATTTAAAGTCACACAAAATCCAGTTCCTCTCAACCACATAAACTATCTTTCCTCTTCTCACAGTAACTTTCTGTGGTCCTGGATTGTATTGTCAAACAAGGGTCTGATGGTTGGGCATTTAGGCAGATTGTAAAGATGGGCAGCAATAGAACAAGTGGCTACAGTCCTACAACATCAATCTGTAAGAGCAAAACCAAAAGAAAAATGTAAGAAATTTTCAGTAGAAAAAGGTCCTCCAGGTGTGATTAAATAAAACAACAACTTGCATTTATAATAATAATAATATACAGCGCCCTTCACATGGGGCAGCGTCTCGGAACGCTTGAAATGACACCAAATTGTCGCAAGCGGGACAGATTTGACAAGAAATTCCTGGGACCGACGTTGACTCTGTGCGCTACGTGGAGCTGAAGCCCATTAGCGCACATCAATATCGCTGCATTCAGTACTCTGGGCGAGCATTCGCCTGTGCCATCCGTGACCTCATTTTTCCTTCCCTTTTTAAGTGTGGCCAGAAAATATACGCGTTCCCCCCACCGTTAGTTACTGACAAAATTAAAATAACTCGGGGAAAACATGAGAAGAATGGATCAAGGCGATAGTTGGATGAATAAAATTGGTGAGAGTTAAAAGCAGCTGCACAATGAAAGCCTCTGTTGAAATAATTGTTAAGGAGGCTCGTAACTTTCTCAAGCTACAGATCAGCACCGAAGGAAACCTCACAGGTTGTCTTTAACAGGTTTCCCTGTTCAGCCAGCGGTCTTCTGCTTTACCACCGTCCTCGCACCAAAATAATGGACAATTTTGTGACTCCACATTTTTATAACCTACTGTTTGGATTCAGAATTAGATTATTTTGTGTGAGACTTCAGTGCTCTGATAGATTCCTCACCAAGTATTACAATGCAGTATTCTAACAGCCATCGATGCCATTCTTTTAAATCTACCGAATATTTGTGTTTAATCTTATAGGTGATAAAGCTTTGTGTTACAATGACATGAGTTTCAAGCACGGAAATACATAAATTAGACTTGCAATGCTGGTAAATGAGCATGTGGGAAAACAAAATGATCTCCCTTAATTTCATTTTCCTTTGTACTGGTTCCAGCCAATACCAAATGAAAGTGTCAGTATTTTCTGTACTGTCAACCCCTAGCAGAAAACCATCAAAAGCACGATTAAAATTTCAGATCATAAAATGTTTCAGGAAAACCATGATCGGGTCCCTGTTTGGAAGTAACAAAAGCAAACATCAAGCACAAGAATAAATGAACAGAACAGTTGACAAGGAGAAGAATGGGTGCTATGTAAAGCCATCTGTTTTGGAGTAGACCCAAAACTTGTGTTGTAGAGGCATACTTAAGCGATCCCAACATCCTCCATTCCACAACTGACCAAATGCACATATGCACAATCAGCTTTGCATCAAATGGCTTCGGCCACTTTTTTTTCTGCAATTAAGTAATTTATTCCTTTCTTTCTCCTCCTTGCTAATGAATCCAAGCCACAAACAAGCCCCAGTTGCTTCTATTCAAGGCGTCTGATTGCATCTGCCAGTAATTGCTCCAAATGATGAAGAGGGAATGGGGAGGGGAGTACATTGTTGTGGGGTAATAGGTGAAGACCTGCCTCTGTTGACCTGTAATACATTAGTGTCAGGGAACATTTGGTAGCCTTCAGATGATTAGCAATGAAGACGTATCTACCAGAAGAGGTAGAAATCCGCCTCATCTGAATGGCCCTGGCTGCATAAATCTGCATATTAAAGAGCTGTCTTTTGTCTGAAGCCCTAGCTGTTGTCCTAATTATTATGACACATTATGTCTTTATCGTAGAAGGCTCAGCTCTGGCTTATTCAAAAATGTATATAAGAATGCATTTTCTCAATCTTCTGCAGCACTGGATTTTGTCGTATATCCAAGATATTATTGTTTGTTCCCGATTGAAACTTCAAGTATCTGTTTTTTAATTCACTTGAGCTTGGAGTCGCACATACATTTTATTTCTGTTGACAAACAAACAAACAAACAAATAAACAAACAAGTGCACTCGGTAATGTCAGATGGACCAAAATGGGTTCGCGTTGTATGCATGATCAAACATTTTGTTTTATTTGCTTCTTTTCACAAATTGATACCAAGGCCAGCATTTATTAATAAACCGTTCTACCATGTGTCTTGAAAGTGGTGCACTGAATTTAATTACGGAAACAGTGATCTAACAAGTGCACGGAGCTTGAAATGATACCATTAATTGAAAGTGTGATAAGTGTTTTTGTAAGTGCAATTTGCAATCAACGCAATGTATAAATTATCCATAATTCTCACCATGATAAATACACCTGACCGATAAACAGTAGTAATTCACTGTGTAACAGGCTTGTTTGCCGCCGTAGACAGAAAGGTTTGATGGAGGGACATTGTTGAGGGGCCAACAACCCTTGTGTGCAAGAAGCATGTAGTAATTTAGCAATAATGTAAAAGTGGGTGAATATTATGTTTGATTAGGAATGAGACGTAATGGTAACCTGACACTTCAACAGTGATGAGTGTATTGCTTCAATATGTCACTCAAGGTTTTTCTTTTTTTTCCTTTTTGTTTGTTGTGCTCCTCATACTTCAGTACAATTGGCTTCATCTGAAATGGCAGGCGCACGAGCTGCGTGGCGAAGATCAGCCTGTTTTCGTACAGGATAATGTAGCTCCTGTCAGTGCAACAGCACGGCCCATCTCCCCCAGCCCCAGCTTAAAGCCTACCTTAGAACGAAGGAGAAAGCAACAGCTCGGTTATATTTCATAAAATGAAACCGAAAAATAAGCCGGTTGCATTCCTCCCCACTCTGATGCCCCCCCACCCCACAAGGAAACAAGGAGCTTATTTACAATGCAAAGTGTCAGCGCGTCTAACATCGTGGGAAGCATCTTGCCGTTGTGGCCATTTCAAAGGTCAGCTTAAGACTCAAAGCACAGCAAGTTATCTCTTGAAAGGCTTCTTTGCCTCATGCTGGAGACCAGTCCAATAAGTCAGCTTTTGCGTTTAATCTTTTGGAATCAGCTTCTTTGTGGCTGAACAAAGATGCTGATTTTGAAAGATTAAATGCAAAAGCGATGGTGGAAGAGGAACAGGCTTTTCAGGCGATGTATTACGGCAACAGAATTACTGGAAAGAAAACAAAACATTTTAAAATTAGTTCTGCTACACATGAAAGTCAACATAATCACTTTGAGACGAAAATATAGCCTTCTTTAAAATAATTCTTTAATGATAAGCTTTAGTTGCTAACTATCCCAATTTTTCCTTAATATTTTTGTTAAAATATTAGTGGCTCCTCTGATGAACTAGCAGGTAAAGGCATCACTAAGTCATTTAACTAATCCGTCCTTTGGACAAGACATTAAAATGAGGGCCTGTCTGACTGTTCAGGCAGATGTTAAAGATCTCACAGCAATCTTCGAAAAGAGGAAGGCGTTTTATCTCAGATCCTGGCCAACAATCCCGCAGGTAAAATTGATCTCTTGATCACTTCACGGCTGTTTGCGGGACTTTGCTGGGTGCCAATTGGCTGCCGTGTTTGTCTACAAATGCATAGTCACTGCCCTTTACAGTAGATTTTGTGAAAGTACTTTCAGATGTTTCGATGACTTGATAAGACGCTATACCAAAATGCAAGGATCGTTAATATTATATGGAACACATTTCTGATCTCACCCCAAATCAATACGTTAGAGCATTGTAACTGGCCTCAGTGTTCTTGGGCTAGAAAAGGGGGAAAAAATACATCAGGCACTAGTCCTCATTCATCTCACTAACCACTGACCTCCACTGGAAGGTGCATATCCATGTGAAATTTGGACGAGAGCACAGTCAGATTTGATTGCGATTCGCACCATGGTTGAAGTGTCTAACATTCATCCTGACTTAAAAGCAGCATAAGCAGAATGTCTGCACACTGTGTAGATGCTGTGTGTGTCCGGTTATAAATACAATGAAACTCTGATAACTTGCCCCTGGGATAAGTCACCAATCCCACATAGCTCGTCACTCGCTCAATATTCTGGCTATTTCCCACAAAATGTTTTAATTACGACCCTCTGGTAATTCACGGGCCCTGAATATCTCGTAACTCACCAGGTATTTTGCAATGTTAAGATGGTATTTGCGTGGTTACGTGCCTCTGATAACTCGTCTTTTTATTCCGTCTTTCAGTCGCTAAACTAAGTGACACTCGTTTGCTAGACTTCCTCCTCCAGGAGGGATGCACAGGTCACAAATCCCGTTTTGATTTTCGCACGCACGCCAACACAACACGGCGAGCAGAAGGAGGAAGACTGGTTAGTGAGGATCCCAAATCCTGTTTTGTTTTTCGCACTCCCCACCACGTGCGCCCCCAAAATCAAAACTGCATTTGGAATCTGTACTCACCAGTCTTCCTCCTCCCCTCGACCTCAACCAGCCACACAGAGTAACGTGAAGGTGGAATGGTTCCCTTTTTCTGTGACCTAAGTTTTCTGTCTGTGGTCGGTTTTTGCTCTGCGCTGGCCAGTGTGTGTATCCTTGCAGTTTAACGTACACCGTTCGGTTCCTTGGATCTGTGTAACAGCTACTGTAAATGTCAAAGACTTATGTAAAGCACTTTGAACCAATAAAAAAACGAAAGAAATTTCGAAACCTCTTTGCCCGGGCCGATTCAAATACTTCGTATTTTCGAGATACCGTACTTTGGATAAGATTCCTTGATTCACAGGATATATTGTGAAGTGTCGTGTAGTGACTGTGTATTTGTAGATGAACGCGATTTGCGCAAAGCAACGTCCCACAAACAACCGTAAAAATAAATGATTAATTTTACCTGGAGGGTTGTTGGCCGTGACACCGGGAGAAAGCAGCGCAAAGTTGGTGGAAAGATAAAATAATAATCCATGCATTTGCCTTTGTACGAGGTGAAGTCGTTTTTGATTGCCTGTGATTGGGTACGTTGGAGGGAAGAGATAGCAGTGAATATCCCCAAGAGATACATGTATTATTTACCCAGGAGATGTCGTTGGAAGGCAAGCACCGAGCATTGTTGACCTGATATAAAGTTCTCTTGTGCAAGTTACTAATATAACAGGTTGCTTTCTGATTTGTTTAGCTCCAGCTAGGGTCGTGACATAATTTAGTCATGCAGTGGTTATATTAATTATCATTTCTGTAGATGGTAAAAGGAGCTGAATATTATTGAGAAAACTGACCCGTGTTTTGTTTATTAACCTACATCCTGATAATCATTGATCTCTCAAATGGATAATAATGACCATTAAATTCATCTTTTTGACACAAATTGACATCTACAGTGCAACTCTTCAAACTTGTGCTCATCTCATAGTTTTAATTAACGGCAGCCTGTCTCCCAGTTGTCGGATAAAACTAATCTGTTCATTTTCTTTGCGAACTGTGCCTTTTTGTCTCTGTATTTGCAAAAACAGGAAGTGGCACTAATCAAAACCGGTATCATTACCGGGTATGAGAAGATCAAAAATGAAAATTAAAAGTTACCTTATTATATTAGAGTCAACATCTGTTTGGAAGTGGGTAACAGGAGTAATGGCAATGTTATCAATTGAGTTGAACAGAAGCCAGCTTAATAGAACCCTTAGTTTTGTCTCCTTATTGATGACGTTGTTGCTTTCAAGCAATGAACTCCAAACACCATCGGGCTGTAACAAGCTTTCTCAATAATATCTACCGTATCATTGTTACTGTTGAAATAATAATGTGGTAGATCCCGCAGGAAACAACACATTCCTTTCATCTTTTAATTCTACTTATTAAAAGCTTCAATATGTGTCTCCTGACCCAAGATTAGCAGTAGCATAACCTGTGAGCAGGCACGAGCTAATGTTATTAACCCATCATTAACTATAGGTTCGTATTGGATGACAGAAGAGCACAAAACTGGCCCATTGACCTTCTTATGACTAAGTCTAGTGCACGATAACAGCAGGAGGTTATGCAACATCAACTCAAACAATCCTCATCTGCTTATGAATAAAATGTAAATAGCGGATATCACAAAAGGGGAGACCCACGAAGCTGACTGTTGCTTTTGTGTATGTTACAAAACATACATCCGCTCATCATGCAATGATTTGGCAGCCACAATCCATACCTTCAAAAAGATCATTTGCATCTGTTCCATTGAATCAATAATGTCTTAGAATGGGGAGCTGTTCTTTGAAGTGAAAGGCATGGAGAACGCATTGAATGCCTTAAATAAATGCTTCCCTCGGGTCGAAATTACTGCCACCATATCGTAGAAATAGTTCAAACGCTACACCCTAAAATCGTATTGATGGCTAAACCACAACTCAAAGACTCACGAGTTGAAAAATTCTACATTTATGAAATTTCTCTCATTTCTCTCCCACCTCCAGCAATGTAAGTGAAGAGAAAATGGCAATAGAAAACAATGCAGTAAATTGTTTGTGATTTACTGATGGCGCCTTTTTTAAAAAAAAAACATGATTTTCTTAATCAAAATGGCCCATTTTTGCAAAATTCAGGAAATTTCAATGTCGGGCAATGTAGTTCTGTAATGTTTCTTGTTGTCAAGGAATTTGGGTTCCATAGTTGTATCTGTGCTCTGGGACACTACCCTATGTGAAGGGCTCTATATAAATGCAAGTTGTTGTTGTTATTGTGTATGTCTCAACACTTTTACTAACTTACAATAATTGTCATTGATCAGTGATCGCTTTCTGTCTTGTTGCCATTTATTGAGATGCAGTTTTTGGTCTAGCTTAGCAAAGCCAAGATCAGATAACCAGTTATTGGCACCAAGGCGATGCTTCGTTTTATTTCTTTGCATCTTGTGTATAGAAGGTTCCTTTGTATGGGAATTGATGGCAAGGTTAAAAATAGGGATACAACCTTTCCTGACAAATTGTTGTAACCCGTTACGCAAACATGTTAAACATGAATCTCGGGGTAGTTGAGCATCTCTTGGGCTTCTGGATTTGAATCCTGCTGAGTCCAGTCAGACCTTCACTTTTTGAGGTCAGTGAAATGAGTACTATGTTCAAAAGACCTTGAGGTGCAGGGAATGGGGAGGAGGTACATAGGGTCACCCTGAAACTATACCAGCTCAGCGAAGGCACAACCCAGCAGTTATCCAGGGCGGTGTTAGTAGTTGAGCCCATTTGCCCAATAAAACCTAACAATGATTACAATTGATGTAATGCGCTTAACATTGGAAGGATGTTAGAAGGTTCTGCTTGAAGGCTTAGTTGAGGAAGGGCAGGAGGAAGTTCATGTGGAGCATAAACACCGGCATAGACCAGTTGGGCCGAATGGCCTGTTTCTGTGCTGTAGATTCTAATGGATTCAAATGTAAAGCTTTTTACAACATACACAGTGAAGTGTTTTGACTGTGTCTCCCATAGACGAAGGCAGCAGCCAGTTTACGCACAGTAATGCCCCATAAACAGCCACAAAGTGAATGACCAATATTACTTGCATCGGCCAGAAACTCCCTTCTCTTTTCAAATAATGTCACGCAATCTTTAATGTCTCATCCAAAGGACGGCACCACTAACAAGACAGTACAGTACAGTCCAGCACTGCACTGGACTGTATGAATTCAAAGTCACGATACAGGGCTTCAACCCACAACCTTCTGACTCTCGACAAGTACTTTGATAACCCTGAGAGATAAAGGCCAGACAAGTATAGGACAAGCTAGGCTGCACGGGTTGACATTTCTTCTTGCACTAATGGTGACACAAGTTAAAGATTCAAAAAATTCTGCTCAGAGTGTTTGTATCACAAAATTGAATCACAAGATTACAACCGTGATAGTGGAGACCTTTGTCCATAGCGTTGACAGGATTTCAAGACGTCATCCAATGTAAAGGTCGTTATATAAATGCACATTATCTCTGTTGTTGGACCCTGAGGCACACCCAAACACATAAACAAACACACACATATGTGTTTGAGTTCAATGTAATGTTCTCAATTGTAGCTGGAGAAACATATTGGGCTCCTCACAAGACCGGAAAATCAAAGTTATTTATAGGCGAACGTACCTCTAAAGCACTATCTCTTTCTAACTCTTGTTTGTTTAAACTAAAACTAGTAGTGAAGAGTAATCTTTTGCTGAAAGTTTGCTGTGTATCCCCCTAGCAGACTGACATTTTGGGAGAACAGATGTACTCCACTGATATCAGCATCAGCAAATCTGTCTGGCAGTGAGAACAGGGATTAGCATAATTCATATTCCTAGATGCTAAGATATGCCAAGTTTAGCTGCGTTCGTAGGTAACCAACATCAAATCTGGCGTTGATTTAAGAAATGCGTTTTAAGAAACGCAGTTCCCAATTGGCACCCGGAAATAAAAGCCCCACTGACCAGGGTTCTGCCTTCCAGCCATTCCCGCTGTTGAGAGGCACTGCTGACATCAGAACAGTTCATCTCCTCTCCTGGCGTGTCTGGGGATCGCAGGAAACCCACCACTCTTTGAAGTTGGACCTGAAAAAAACAATAAAATAAAACTTAACTTGAGCCGAAAAAATGGCAAAGTAAGTTACAGCTCGTTCTCAACAGCTCTCTAAAAGAATAATGAAATGTATATCTGCTTGTGGCAAGCTATGCCATTTAGCTGGTTTAATCTGCACCCTTAACCCTAATGCACGTTCTTCACACCCCAAGCCTACTCATCAACAACAACAACAACAAAATTACATTTATAGAGCACCTTTCACGTGGGGAGGACGTCCCAAAGCGCTGCCACTCATACCTAATACCCTCTAAAATTAAGTGCTTCTCAGGAGAGAATTCTCATTCCATTCCAGACACGGGGAAAACTCCAAACCTAGGTGACATGCATACGGGGAACTCTCAGTCTGGTTTGAATACTCTTAAAAATGGTGATGGTTTTCTGTCTGTGTCCGACACCCATGGAACAGCCAAACACCTACATATATATTAGAAATAATAAGTGCATTGGATACGCCTATTAGAAGTAAAGCGTAGCATTTGCTGTAACTACAGAAGGGTCAAATGGATAGAGCCCAGCTTATGAAGAAATAAAATAAACTTAGGTCTGACTGCAAGAGAATGATAACTATTATCCGTAAACATCTAAAGTGAAAGAAACAAATGTGTGGGTGGGCTGAATGAGCCAATGGCCCCACTCCTGCCTGAAATTGTTACTCCGCAATCTGGTAAGTAATTTCACCTGCAGTTCTCGTCTTTTTAAATGACCGACATTGCGGCCTTTAGGTAGCTGCTATGGACAGCTTTATGAACTTGTTTTACCCTCTGACATTTAAACGTAGTTATTATCTTATATCACAACATTGAATCTTATTTTTGGATGTGATGACAAAGTTCACAGCACAGATCTATACTAATACAAAAGGCTGAAAACCTCTATCCAGGACAAAGGTTTTTTTCTATAATACTGTGTAATACAATTGTTTTTGCCTACTATATACACAGTCGCTGTGCTTTGCAGTATATCTCATTGAACAGCTTTGAGACATTAATCCTAACGTGAAATGTATTCAAATGTAAGGCTTTTTAATTTTTTTTAATATTATTATTTTGGGAGGATGAAAATTATACAATATTTCACGACAGTACATAAAGATTTCCAGACGCAGGAAAAATGGGATGAACCGTTGTCAAACTCACTGTTTGTTAAAAAAAAAGGAACCATAGCAAGCCAAGCACTGATAATTGAACTTCAATAGATGCGTGATTTTTGGGGTATTGCTGAGCATAGCAGTTAATAGGGTTAAATAATTGATTAATAATCAATTAGCCCTTCTGCTATTAACAGATTTGGCAGTTGATTAAATATCTGGCAACCACTTAAGAGTACAGAGAAGAGATGTGCTTCATTAATAATAGAAAGCTCGAGAGTATACCAGGGCTAGTCACGATTTGCAAGAAGTTCATAAAATAATAATCCTTGCATTTGGTATAGTGCCTTATCACGTCGGAAGGACGTCTGAAATCGCTTCACGAGAATTACTGAGAAAATGGAGTGACTGTGTAATTCCACGCAGCAATGTCTCACAAACATCCATGGAGTTAATGGCCAATTTTATTTGGGGATTGTTGGCTGGGATAGAGAGAGAGAGAGAGAGAGAGAGAGAGACTCCCTTCCCTTTTTGAATAGCGCCTTCTTTAACAAACGACCGAACAAGGAGCTGAGACCTCGGTTTAACATTTCATTCAACGGACGGCAGCTCTGACGATGTAGCATAACCCAGTACTGCATTGGATTGCTCGCTTAGACCATGTGAGTTCAAATTCCACGTCACAAGGTCCCTTCTGAATCACAGGCGAGGGAGCTTCCACCGAGCCAAGCTGACACAAGTTAGACTGTAAGATAGATCCTAATTTCCTGTATTAAAAATGTACAATCTTGGAAACGAAATAACTTGATAAACAAAATCGATCTTTGGCATTCATTTGTATCTGGCTCCGAACATGGATTGTGAATCGCATTTGTTGAAATTTCTATCGTGTTCTTTAATGAATCCTCAGTTTTCTAGCCTCACTTCTTCACATGGAAACAATTTCAGGCAGAATTAGACCATCAACCCATCGAGCCCACCCGCCCTTATTCATCTCATTTGTGTAGAAAAGCTGACTACTGTGCGAAACAAAAGTCAAAACTCAGGAAAGTTACACTACTTAAAAATCAGAATTGCAACGTGTTTAGTCACTGAGTCTGAAAAAGACTTAAACATTGGATAAATGTATTATTACTATAATTACCTCTTATATAAAGACTGTCATATTAAAACTATTGAAAATACAAGAGAAAAGAAGTAATTATGACTAATGGATCTGAAGTGTGTCAAAATGGGGAGTTATTAACCTGTCAGTGCATACTCTAAACTGTTAAGGTGTCAGGTTGAGTTGCAGAAAAGCAAATTATTCCAAAAACTCAAAGCCGTTCAGGAAAAAGGAACCCACTTCTGTGGAAATTGGTGTCGTTCTGTGTCAGATTAAGAAACTTGGTGCCAAAATAACTGGGACACTCCATGCTTTGCTTTATTCATCAGCAACAGATATGTGTCTCAATTTTCAGGTTTTTGTTTACAAAAGGGCACAAATGGTTATAAGGTAGCAAAAGCATCACGATAAAAGGTGTAATCGCAGTTAATGGCTAAATGGTCTCCATTACTACTGGTAATAAGTGAGCACTTATAGGCAATCATAACTAAGGTGGCTAAGAAATTCACATTAATACCAGTTATTTTCTTTAAATGCAGTGCAACAGTGATTTTAGTGTGAAAAGCAATTTTAGGAGATCCATTTTTTCATAGTTAAAAGTATGTGACATGTCACGTTGAATAGTGTCTAATCAATGTTTTGTTTCTGTGGTGAAGAAAATCAATGGTGCTGTGGAGAACGTGAACTTTTATACCGCATTTATAAACGGAGCATTAGCTTGCAACATTAGGAACAAACTTCACAACTTTAAAATGATCAGCAAAGTGAAAGTCTTTGAGAGAACTGGGTCCAATTTGGGGTATTTTTAGTTTTTTTCAACTAGTTTTGGTTTGATTCCTGGCAGGGCGAAATGTTGGGCAAGTTTGCTCACTCCACACGCCTCTGTTTACCCAGTAATACGTAGGAACCCGGTCGTTAGTCGATTGGTGGATCGCTTTTCCGGGGGTAATAATTCCTTCCAAAAAAAACAATAATAATTTGGTCACTTCAATCCACGGCTGTTTGTGGGGACGTTGCTGTGCGCAATTGGCTGCCGCGTTTCACCCACAAATATACAGTCAATTCACTTTACAGTGCATCCTGTGAAGCGCTTCGAGATGTCTCAAAGACGTGCTCAGGCGCTGTATCAAATGCCAGGATTATTATTGTCATTATTACTTATGGGATTCCCAAAAAAGAAATCTATTAAAATTCCTGCCCTGCCTCGGGATCTTCACTCCGGAAGTAGATGGGGGCTGGAGCTGAAGGCAATGGAGATGATGTTCTGTATGTAGGTGATAGCTCCGACACATTAACACCCAGAGTCATCAATGTACCTTGTTCACAGATAGCTCCACATGGCTTGATAGTGGCAGCAGCAGGCAATAAAATATAATAAAATGATGCAATAAAATATCAAACGCAAGGATTGTTATTATTTATTAAAAATCATCCAGAGAAACACAGATTGAATACATCATTTGGTAGTGGCAGTTATGGAGGAATTCATAATAATGAGTCCTCCAGGTAGGTTGCTTATTCGTCCAACTCTTAGAATAATAGCAATAACAATAATGAGGATAATATTTGCATCCTATAAATCAGCTATTGTACGTTTAGCTGAATATATCAGAATAAACTCCGATGACAGTGTGAAAATGATAGAAAAACATGAAAACCAGAAAAATACATTTTCTATCATTAAAGAACCAATCAAGATCAAACAAGAGTATGACACCCACCAAAAAGAAATAGACAGTAGCTCAACTGAACCAACAAAAATTGCACTTGGAATGAAGATTGTCCATAAAACGAAAATGATATCTTGCGGGAAAACAAATGGGAGAAAAAAAATCACGCATGGTCACTTTCCAAGAGAAATGAAAGAACAAGAACTAGATATGAACCAAAGCTACAGCTGACTAATGGGGATCTGAGAGCAGAAACAGAAGCTCTCCTAATATCAGAATAGGATCAAGGTCTTACTATTACTATTCATTATTATGAAAATAAGATTTTGAAGAGAAACCTCGAACCAGAATCAGTAAACCACATGTTGTCATCATGTCCAGCCCTTCTGTAATCAGAGTATCTGAATCAACATAACAGTATAATTATAATAATAATCATTGTGTCTTATCACATCTTCGAGACGTCTCAAAGCCCTTTACAGAATATACTGTAAAGTGACTTGACTGTAGCGTCCCACAAACAGTCGGAGACCGAGTGACCAATTTATTATAGTTCTATTTTTGTTTGAAGAAATTATTGCCCCCGGAAAAGAAAATGTTTGAACTATGGAGAGAAAGAAATGGTAAGACAAGACCAACATTGCAGAATAAACTAGCTACAACTGGAAGGTGGATTGTGAACGACAAAAAATTACCGGAAGAATTAATCAAAGAAATTGAAATAAAGGTCAAGAATAATACCCAGAATTAAGAAAAGGTACTCATAGAAACTGGCAATAGTAATACCTACACAGTCAATAATACCATAATTGAACATGTCACCAAACAGATCAAGAACAGGAAAACAAAGAACAGTTACGAGAACAAGATGATGAATATATGAAAATGAAAATAATTATGAAAGAAAAGTGCAAAAAGTATGAAAGTTGAAGACAGAACAACAAATACCAAAAATAACTAAGAATAGAGCTTCAAAAAAAAACATTCAGATAGCCAACGAGGCCATCCGTGATGTAATAAATAGCAGGAACGGAACATAGAAGAAGCAAATGCCCTACTGTGTGCATCAGCAATTATATTGATAAAAAAACAAGACATGAAGATCAA